TTTTTTTTTTTTTTTTTTGCTGTATACTATTTGAACTGAGGTTCTTCAGCACACTGGATGGAGCACCCAGCACCCTCCTTCATATTAGAGGTTATTAAGAGCTAGTCATAATGAGCGTCATTCACCCCCTCTGTTGCTCTGCATCATGTGGGCACATCAATGGCTCACCAGTGCCTGGCTACAAATCAGCCAGACAAGAAGAACAGGGAGCTGAATGGGTGGCTGTGCTCTGGCAAATATGGGATTAGAGAAGATTCAGGATATGACACAAAAGGGAAGGATGAGTGTCAGATGCAGTGGAAAAAAAGCAATGGACGGATTTAAAACTTCATCTGATGCTTGTGCAGCAGGCCATGATATCATGTCATGAATGAATAGCTGAGGTTTTGTCATAACTCAGCATGGTGTCAATCCCAGAAATATGGCCGCCTTCATGTTCCTTCTTCAAGTCTTAGGCCTGTGTTGTATTTTTATAAGTTAAAGTTAAAGTATTCGTAGAACACATTATGAAAAAGTTTTGGCCTCGACTTTATAAGCACTCCAGATGCACTATGGCAGAATGTTCTTGAGAGAGTGGTTTTGACTGGTACGATGCAATAGCCTGAAGTGTTCTTCAGCCAAGGAAATCCTGGAAGCTGTACAGCTCTTCTGATAAGATGTTTCCTGGAACAGAATGTTCTGCTCGCTGGAATAAAGGAGGAGCCTTGGTTCTGTTCATTACAAATAATGAAATCAGTGTCTTCAGGTAATATATCTGTTTGTTTTTTTAATGATGAAATGATGATATGTTTCTTAGGGAGTTGACCTGATTAATGCCTGCCTTTCACTATCCATTTTTCATGTGGGCCTGTACAGCTTGTACAGTATTAAATGTTCACTTAAACATGTAAGCATTTCAATTATGTAAATAACATTAAGATAAATCAATACAAAGGCTCATTACATATTTAAAAATCCCATTTCTTTTACGTAAGGCTTAATGGCACGACCTCTTCTGTGTCCCTGAATTTTCCTGTCTATTCCCAACAATTGCCTAAAGAATTCTCACAAGGATACGAGGAAGGGTGTTGTACTTCCTCTTGTTCCTCTTATTGTACACAACCTAAGCAGATAAAAGTCAAGCTATCCTCATTTGTACTGAGGCAAAAGACCATTTTGTAAACCATGTGAACCAAAACCTGAAGGTCAGATTTTATTTATTTATTTTTATTTCTCCTAAAAGTCAAGCCTGCTTTGTCTAAGTTTTAGTTAATAGACTTCAGACCTATTCTTGATACATTTCTTTCCATCATACCATCTCTCATAATTCCTTACCAGTGTCAAACGGCTAAGTACGAATAGTTCTTTCCATTTCCTTTACCATGCTACTGAATGTATAAAGATTTTAATCTGTCTTTTACTTTTGGGAGAGAGTTCTGATTGCTGTTGGGAGTGTAATGATCCCATGTAATTAGTCTCACAATAAATTGCAATAACACGCTGCACAGCTGGGAGATGTAGCTTTGTTGCACTGGAATAATCTCCTTCCCTGGAAATGAAATACTTATTTAGACCTAAGAGTGACTGCTGTTTTAACATTTGCTGAGAAATATTACCATCATGTGAAACTGAAATGTATTAAGTTACTGACCACCACAACAAACATCATGTTAAATCCAAATGATTGATTCGCATTCAAATGGCATACAAATTTTACTGAAATAATAGAATCTTACTAATAGTGTCTCAATGGTTAGGATAATAATAGATATCCTAACCACTGGTCCATTGTTATGCAGTGCTGCATTTTTTTTATTTGTATTTCGGGAAAACAGACCAAGCCCAAGGTTATTTCCAAGAAAAATGCCATTTGCATTGGTTGCTAGCCCAGCAAATTTTATTTATACCGCTGTGCACACCTGCTTGTGTCACAGCTTGTGTGTGTGTGTTACACACACACACACATTTATTGTGTTTTGAATTTCATACAACTGGTCATTGCACAGTTTTAATAGTGTATTAATTCTAAATAAAATTCTTAGTGCAGGATTATAGTTATTTCAGTCAGGTGAACCTGAAGGACACCTGTCATATCCCAGCTGCAAACAAGAGAGTTCAAACCCTCATCAGTAATGGAATTATAGATGGCATAAAATCATCAGGACAATACAGCTTATTATTCCTCTTCATTAGCCTTTTCTCCATGAAAGGGGCATTTTAACCAAATTAGCATAATGTTATTGAAATGGATCTTTTTATTTTATACGGCGATTTAAATTCACATTATCCATTTGAACTTCAGAGGATGAGCAGCAAATTAAAATTGGATCAGTATATGAAGGGAATTGATAGTTATCAAATCAAAGAGCTGTAAATAATTGTACTTTGTTATGTGGTTTTAAGTATCTCCACTTATCACATTTGAGAGGAGATCTTAATACCAAAGCTGTTTAGATCATTTTTCTTGCTGTTGTTGAATTATTCAGGCATGTTTTACTATCACCAGAACTTCGAATGTAAACAGTCTCAACATTTCCACGGAAGTGAGGGGTGGTATGAGAGTCAGAGCCACAGTCTGACTAACCCAACAAGCCCTGGCAAAGAGAAAGGATTAAAAAGATTTAGACTTGTTCTGACAGCTAAATGCAAATGTAACTTACTACTAAATATAATAAATATAAATGGTACTAAATTAAAGTGCATGATGGCCAAAGAACATTTATACCAAACATTTTATCTGAAAGAAATAGTTCACCCACCTAAAATGAACATTTCCTGAAAATGTACTCGCCCTTAGACCATCCAAGATGTAGACGAGTTTGTTTCTTCATTGGAATAGATTTGGAAAAATTTAAACCGTCATAGTAAACCACAAACCATAAGTCAATAAACCATAATAACGCTTCACAATCTAGAGAAAAGAGAAGTTAATCCCCTTTTGTCCTCTCATATCAAACCAACATATTTGTTTAAATCTGTTTAGGACTGTTTTTGCTTGTAAACGTTTGTTGATCTGTGAATATTTCTGTCCTGATTCAGGCTAAATGATGTTTTCAATAGTGAAAGCAATATTATGTATAGAGGACTCATATTTTAGCTGGAAACAACGGTTTTAAGTTTAATAGTGGATTTGTATATTACAAACTCAAATTTTTTTTGTTTCACTGGAGTCATGTGGATTAATTGTGGATTATTGGGATGTTTTTATCAGCTGTTTGGACTTTCATTCTGACGGTACCCATTCACTTCAGAGGAACCATTGTTGAGCAAGTGATGCAATGCTAAATTTCTCCAAATCTGTTCCAATGAAGAAACAAACTCATCATCTTGGGTGGCCTGAGGGTGAGTACATTTTCAGCAAATTTTCATTTTTGGGTGAACGATTCCTTGAAGTAATGTCAGCTCAGTCTGAAGGGGTAATCAGTTGTACAATATCATTTCACATCCTGTTCCTGCCGTGCTCAGAAAACCTCTCCCTATTGAACAGGAAGGGCAGTTTGTTTACATGTTGTCTAAGTATTTCCGTCATAGTCCATAAAATCTTTGCACACAAGACAGCAGTGTGTCCCAATGCTGTGTTTGATATACTGTAAAGCAAAGGACAGCTTTATGTGGCAAAAAGGATTTGGGGATGAATGTCAATCATTGGTAGCTGCAAATACTCTTTTAAAATAGCTATTTTTTAGTTGAGTTTCTTTGTGTGACCTGTGGGGGATCTCTTAAAGGCATTTTTGTGCCGTTGAGTTACACGTAAAGTAATAACTGATTAAGATCACAGCTTAATTATTTGTCTAAACCAGCAACATTATTTGATTAACATTGGCTTAAATTAAAGGGGTCATATGATGCTGCTAAAAAGAACATTATTTTGTGTATTTGGTGTAATGAAATGTGTTTATGCGGTTTAAAGTTAAAAAAACACATTATTTTCCACATACTGTACATTATTGTTTCTCCTCTATGCCCCGCCTTTTTGAAACGCCTCGATTTTTACAAAGCTCATCGGTCTAAAAAGCGAGGTGTGCTCTGATTGGCCAACTATCCCGTGCGTTGTGATTGGCCGAATACCTCAAGCATGAGACGGAAATGTTACGCCCCTCACATACCGTGTCCGGCAGAAAGGAAAAAATGAAATCGCATCATATGACCCCTTTAAGCTTAAATCTGAGTGCAATCAGCCGGTATCTTAAATTAGATGAGAAATTAGTTTAAATTGAGACTTAAATCTAATTAAGACTTGTTTCAAACACTTCAAAAAGCAGCAGTTATATTTCCAGAGCAGTCAACTTCTCCAGCAGATCTGTACAAATCCTCTCTTCTTTGGCCTTCTTTAGGCAACATTATCTCACAGATACCAACGGGGGGATCTCAAGTCTGGTATCATGAAACAAAACACACATCAGAAACTCAGAGACCACATTTTCTCTCTTGCTATGGCCCCTTTTCTCCCTATTGAACAGATTTATATTAAATCCCTAGGGGCACAACAAAAACAACACAAAAGGCAAATATATGCTTTATGAACATAAAAATCAGAAAAGAGATTATAAAAATGATTAGTTTCAGCTTACTCAAAACTTAATGGTCAGTCTTCAGTTTTCTCATACTAACTCTCCTAGTACAATGCTGTGTATGACTTTATTATGTGGCATCATTGGGAAACAAATGAACATCAGGGAAAACAAAATATACTTATATATACTTGTGTATATAAAGAAATCCTTTCCTCTGAACATTTTAAACTCTTTCTTATTACTTAAGTAATTTCATTAATATTCATAAATGAATGTTTACTTTTTCCCTTAGGGGTGTTTTTCATCATGAAATGTTTGGATGTGCATGAAATAAATATGATGGAATCAGGAGTCAGCTCCGGACAGAAAAAGCTCAATCACTAACAACAGACTGGAAATATATATATATATATATATATATATATACCAATTCCATCAATCAAACCAAACAGAAGAGTTGATCTGAATTGAACGCTGAATGAAAATATCTTCTCTGCATGCATGAATAACATTTGAGTCTTACTTACTGTCAGTAGTAAGTTCAGTAGCAAAAAAATATAGGCTGCAGGTTTATACAGTACTTGATGAGACAACTGAAGCTAAACAACAAAATGTCATATTGATTATATCACAATCCAATGCTGAAGAACAAAACAGTACTTAAGTAAAAATACTCAGACTCTATTGAAATAATGTGTCATGGTAATACATACTTTGCCAGTCCTCAAAAGAAAATACTATGATCATTAGAAGGTGATATGGAAAGGCTTTCATAAAACGTTCCCTTGGATGTGAATACAGCAAAGTGAGGTTAAGATCAAATCCTTATTACAAAAACACCAGGATTATCATTGCAAACAAGATGAAGTTGTCCAATTTATAAAAGTGCTGCTGACAGAAAACTCTCTTGAGAAACTGATTAAAATTGCAACACTGCCCCTGTGCTTGAGGTGATTACAAACAAAGCCACGATGAGGCTGTTTGGCCACTAGAGAACCTCCCTCTTTGATCCATCAGTTACAATTGTAATCATTCTCCGTGTCTTCTGTGCAATTTAAACGATTCTCCAGTTCCTGAATAACGGCTTCCCTTCCCATTTGATCGTTTCTCCTATTTTCCATGATCAAATCCTCTAAACTTTGAAAGTCCAAAACGTGACTTTTCTTCTCCGACAGCTGCAGTTTCATCTTGTACGGTTGCTTCCCGATTCGTATCTCGCCTCCAATTTTAAATTCGCGTTTGCCAAACCTGCACCAGGCAGCGAAGCATTCAGAGTTCTTCCAGCAAATGTCTCGCTCTTTCATCCCCACTTGCTCCATGGCATTCTGCACCACAACATCAGGGCTCAGCGCGCGAAACTTATACAGGTCGTTCACAATTCTGCCCCTTTTACCTTGACTGGCATCGAAAAGAAAGTCGCATTTAATCTCGTTTCTATGCAAATGAACCACCTGTTGGTCATCAACACAAACGGCCCAGTGCGGGTACTGACCGATAGCCACAAACTCCACCAGGTCACCGGGTTTGCATTTATTCGCTAAGTTCTCCCACGACAGGGTTCCCACTTCACCGAACCTGCTATTCCTGTCGTATATGCACTCGTCGCGATAATATACCGCGCATTCTAATTCATTTCGGCAGTCGTAATGTTTAACACCTTCCGTTTCGGTCTCATCGATGTTGTCCTCCTGCTCGTTGTCATCAGCAGAGAAAATATAAGACACGCCGATCCGTGGAGTGTCGTCCTCTAGGTCGAACCCATTAGGGTCAGTCGTGGGTAATTCATTGTAATTTAAATGGGTAAATTTCTCCACTTGATTCCCCATAACAGTGTCCGAAACTCGTGTTAACAGTTTCGCGTCCCACCTGTATAGGTCGCGGAGGGGAGATTTCAAAAGCGCAACACGTAATCCGGCTCTGGAGCCCAGTTCAGGTCTAAGTCCATGTCTTCTTTTTATCGGCGAATTGCTGTTTGGAATAATTGCGTGATGTGCGTTTTGGCATATCATACAGCTATCCGACCTGTTTGCCAGCCATAAGATATTATGCCATCAGAGTTTCAGTCTGCGTTCTGAACAGGTGCGTCTCACCTGCTCACTCACTTCCTGGTGTGAGTCGCAGACAGGGGAAGCCCATCAGACACAGCGGTGAACGGGGAGTCCTGCGGTTAAAGTCTCCAGTAAAGAATTGCACTTTTGATGAGTTACTTCCTCTCTTACCAAGTAATGGATGGCGTCCACGGCTCTTTGAAGTTCTGGTAGTCGCAGAGGCAGCAACAGCGCTCTGTGTGAAATAGTAGTGCGCACAGTAATGTTTACTCAAGGCAACGGTCAGTTAAAGAGACAGTACACATTTAGACTGGAAGCAGAATTATGTTGGTTCTTCAGCTCATTGAGCTAAATTCATACAGAGTCTACAGTTTAAAGGGGTCATGAACTGAGAAATAACATTCCCTTTATCTTTTGACATATTTTACTATAAAAAACATCCTGTACGTTTCAGAACGCAAAACTTTCTTGTTAGTCTAAAAACAGCTTATATTGAAGTCAATCTGCCAAAACGACAGGTTGTGGAATGTGCCACTTTATGACATAATAGTGTGGCTATAAGCACTGCCTCCGCAGAAGATCAATGCCTGCTTCTACATCACAGCCTGTTTAGCCCCGCCCACCGATTCGTGCATGTAGTGTAAATAATGAGAGCAGCAAACGCAGGTCTACGCAGAAACCAAACAATAAAGATGGCCCCGAAGACAAGATGCTGTGCAGTGCCAAATTGTGGAAAAACTAAGTATTTGCACTGCCTTCCTTCTGATCCCAACATTAGGAAAGAGTGATCAGTGGATGAACTTTATTTTTAATGACAATGCTGTGCCAAAAATATTGGATCTGACAGTAATGTCGCAAAACACAAGTGTAAGTAACTGTTTTTATTACGTGGTCACTATTGCTTTGTCTGTTATTACAGATAATTTGATATGTAAGTTACTGAGTATTTATGCGTTTTCACATAGATCCTTCATACATCTATGAAGGATGTAGGCTGTCAAACATACAAAACTGTTAGCCAGTCATAGCAGTGGACGTTTACTTCAGAGTCTACAAGCCGTCACACCTTTTCAAACGATGATGAGGGGGGACTCAGAGGACAGTACAAAATAATAATTAAAAAGGCAGATCATGGTCCCTTTAAAGATTACCTTTCTGACCAGATGCTAATATTTTATAGTATATGTATGCCTGCATAAATTCAAGAGTGGGTGCCAGTCAACCAGATTGTATGACTTAGAGTCTCATGTGACATACCTGAACTTTGAACTCAAACATGCTGACATTTTCAGGCATCATAATGATGCAGTACTACAGAGTACAGATATGCTACAAATCAGTTCTTTAAAATCTTTTTAATTATTATACACAGGATGCGTGTAGTATTCAATTGTACAATTAAGGCTTGGAAGGCCTCCAAATAAAAAAGCACAGCTTTTTTGATTCAACCACATTATGATTCAACCACACCTGGAAACATTAGTGAAACTTCTGCAATTAATATTGTAGTAATGTTTAAAATAAAGCTACACAGAAGCTCACACAGAAGTCGCATTCAAACCAAGCAGCTTTTTGTTGGTCAGTGTGACTAATTTGTGTTCAAGTGAAATTCCAGGTCGAGCAGATTCCTATTGAAATTACTCTATTTCATCTGGGGGGGGGAAATCACTGAACAATGGTAAATGTGTCACCTTTGGTAACCACAAGAATTAGTTCATGAAGAGGTACTGTAATTACAGCAACACCTTTTCGATTGCATTAGAAAGTCATTATTTATCACATTATTATAGACATTAAACCTATATTTAAAAACAATTAAATAAAAATAAATCAATTAAATATATATTGCAAACATTATTAAATAAAAAAATCGTAAATCAGCCAAATTACTTTATTCATCTACCCTGAATAAAGTCCAATACTGTGTCCTTCACATTAAATACAGTGGCAGCATCTTCAGAGGCATCTCCCTGGAGGTACTTCAGCTTGTGGTATCCAGTCTGGGGCACGTGGGTCGGTAAACCACTGCAATGTTTAGTCTTGTGCTGTGGATTGCCAAACAGCTAGCCTCTGGCTGTCAGTCCATCACCCCCAGTGCATGGGCTTCTCATACCCAGAAGCATGCCTCAGCTCTTAATTACCTAACGTAACAGCTGGCCAGTGAGTCTGATTGCATTAGTCATTATTTATCACATTATTATAGACATTAAACCTATCTTTAAAAACAATTAAATAAAAATAAATCAATTAAATATATATTGCAAACATTATTAAATAAAAAATCGTAAATCAGCCAAATTACTTTATTCATCTACCCTGAATAAAATCCAATACTGTGTCCTTCACATTAAATACAGTGGCAGCATCTTCAGAGGCATCTCCCTGGAGGTACTTCAGCTTGTGGTATCCAGTCTGGGGCACGTGGGTCGGTAAACCACTGCAATGTTTAGTCTTGTGCTGTGGATTGCCAAACAGCTAGCCTCTGGCTGTCAGTCCATCACCCCCAGTGCATGGGCTTCTCATACCCAGAAGCATGCCTCAGCTCTTAATTACCTAACGTAACAGCTGGCCAGTGAGTCTGCCGTGTATTTGCTTACTCCAGTGTGGGGATGTCTGACTGTCGCCATGAGGCATATCACCAGTTACACCAGTTGCAAACTGAGCGTCCATCTCCCATCACCACATCAAAACAAATCCTACAGCCTCCTGAGAGTACCTTCAGACCAGACACACCTGCTCCCCCATTAAGTATTAATATTAAATCTCATTAGCATAATGTGCTTAAAGTTTAAATGATGTGCAATCTTGTCAAGTCACCTTTATTTATATGGTGCTTTATACAATACAGATTGTTTCAAATCAGCTTTACAGTATTAAACAGGAAAATTACAGAATCAATTATGCAAACTTCTTCAAATATGAAACAAATCCAAATTCTCTAACAAGACGATATAGTGTCATTATTCACCTCCAGTCAGTTCGGTGTTGGTTCTTAAAAATAAAGGTTCCATAAAAAATTTTTTTACAGCAATGACATTGAAGAACCATTCTGGTTTCTCCGTAGAACCTTTCAGTGAGCAGTTCTTAAAAGTACCATTTTTTAAAGTGTAAAGAACATTTTAATAATAACATTTTAATAATCTAAAGAACCTTTTTGCACTAATAAAGGTTCTTTATTGGCATCTGGTTCCATCAAGAAGCTTTAACATCCATGGAACCTTTGAGTTGTACAAAAGGTTCTTTAGATTTAAAAAAAAAAAAAAAAACTTTATTTTTAAAAGTGTAAAGAACCTTTTGTGCGATAGAAGGGTTCTATGGATGTTAAAGTTTCTTCATGAAACCATCAATGCCAATAAAGAACCACTATGTGCCAAAAACTTTATGATTATCAATTTATGATTCAGCGATCATTCCTCAGAGTGACATTTTCACTGAAACCTCATATGTTATAAAGATCCACACACCCCGCATATCTATCCTGGTGAGTAAACAAAGGAATTTCAACTACCTGACATTTCGGTATTGACCTGACACAACCACAGGAATTCCTCTGAGTGTTTTGACTCTACAAAAATACTTTTTTTTTTTTAAGTTTCTCTCACCCCGAGAGCCTGTACTCTGGCCATTTTGAATGCCAAGGCACCTTGTGTCAGTATGCCTGTGACACTGTATGAAGCTGTCTGCCACCGTTGAAGATACAAAGATAAACAGTGTTGCCTTCACACTGACTCGCTCAGTGAAAGAACTCATTATTTAGTTTCCTCAACTGTTAAAAAAAAAGACGTCTGGAACACAACACCACCAAGAGTAAACAAAATAGGGTGAAAGTGCCACTCTGGTGGGAATGCATTGATGTTTTTGTTTCCAGTGGCTATGCACTTACATCAGAAGAATTTTAAGCAGCTAATAGTAAGCCCCTTAAGACCCCTCTTTCTCTCTCTAGGTTTCCAAAGGCAACTGCCTTCCATCAAAGGTGTATTATTGCTGAAGGTGCACGGTGTGTGTCTGTTTGTGTCACGATGAAGCGTACCAGAAGCCTGGACTGACTGCAGAGAGAGAAATGAAAAGAAGGCCGAGAAGATCGTCAGGTGACAAAAAAGTGAGGTGAAAATGACAAAGGTATGTTAATGGTATTGAATGCAACTCTGTTATCTGTAAATTCTTCCGTTTTCCCACAGTTACTTTGATATTTGTTTTTCTTTAATGGATAAATAGCTGTGTTGTCCTATAGTACAATGTGAGTTTGCTGCAAAAATCATGAAACCACTTTTAGGTAGTTTAGTGATCAATAATATTGAGTGCAGTGAAACATTTATTTTTCTATTCATAATACCCAGCATGAGTAATGAGTATAAGGACTTATTTTATTCCAGTAAATTCAAGTATCGTTTGAACTGCACTGACCTCTAGAGGAGCATGACATTTTAACCAAAATATAGCACTCATCTCACAAATATGCCAGCAGGCCTAAAGTAGTGTTCTGTGGACTAGGGGTTTTCAAACTTGGGTCCGCAAGTGGGGGGGGGACTATATAAGTTATATTGTAGAAACTATATAAGTTTCTACAATATATACTAAATATATTGTAGAAACGTAATTTTCTGTAAAGTTGCTTTGCCACGATTTGTATCGTGAAAAGCGCTATACAAATAAACTTGAATTTAATTATTTATTTAGTTAGTTTTAAAATGTATTTTTTCAGGGCTGTCAGCGTTAATTATTTTTATGTTTACATTCACTAAATTTAACAATAATATTTCATTCTGGTCAGAATTCAATTGAATTCAACATTAATTGTATTTTTTTCTTTCTTTTTTCCCATAATTTGTTCGTTTTATAATTATTTTCCATATAATTTATTTGTATTAGTATAATGACAATGTGAAAAGCAATTATTTCATTTTGGGAACAATTATTTGATTTAGTTATCTTTTTATAAACTTTTTATAAACATTAGTCGCGGCACCCTTTGGAAATGTTAACAAATTTGTGGCACCCTACAAAATAAATTTTGTCACAATATTTGACTTTCTAACTTCGATATGATACTTTGAAAAGTATAGATATTCGGTACAGCAGGGAAGAACTGCAGAATACACTGTCATACAGATATTTTTAATATTATTAAAAAAAAATGTGTCTATCAATGGTGTCAATCAGTAGGCTAATTTCTAATGAAAAGACCAATTTATATGACAGATTTTAATGTAGGCTTTTATTCATATGTAAACATTGTGAGATAGCTAGTTATAATGGTAATTAAACAAAGTTT